ACTACAAGTAGCTTCAGACTTCCCTCATCAGCTTCTTCCCAGAATTGTTGGGGGCAATATGCTGACTCTCTGTAAACCGCTTAGAGAGGGCTGAAAGCCCTATGAAGCGGTATATAAGTCTACTGCTATTGCTATTGCTATTAGAAAAAATATTTAAAGAATGGGCAATTGCCAATTTGGAAATCAGTTGGCCAATTTCTAACATATTTATAAATACTGTATGTGTCTGGCTTCCATAGTCATTCTTAAAAATAGAGAATCCAGGAGGGTAGTAGAGGAGATTGTGGAGGGCAATTCCAATATTTGATTTTTGGGGAATATGAATGCCTTGTAACTTGTACTTCCCTGATAGCTTACATTTTAGGAAGTTTACACCCAACATTTCAAATGTGCCCACAAGACCCAGGCATTGCATGCATTTGCCATGAAATATGGAAGCACCATAAACAGGTTTCCTTTAAAATGAAAAAGAACCCCATTATAAAACAACATAAATCAAATAAATAACTTGTGACTTCACCTTAAAAGAATCTGGGTGTACTTTTAGCTCATTGAAACATAAAAACGTTTTCATTTTAATGACAAACTTTTTTTTGATACATGACATTGTTCTGGTATAAGCAACTCTATCAGTCAACATATCACTTGTTATGTGATCAAGTCTGTCACGGTACAGCTTGTTTGTATTACAAGAATCAATTAGGGTCTAGCGAATAAGAGATTGTGAATTCTAGTTCCACATTAGGCATGAATGCCACCTGGGTGGCTTTGGTAGGCAGTCTCTCTCAACTCACAATGTTAGGCTAGTCCAACCAAGCTGGTTGGTCAATTCCTTTCGCAATCAAGGGATCAATATTTGGTTTATCCACCCCCTTCCTGCCCGCTTAAAAAAAAAACCCAGATTCTGCACAAAAAAAACCCAGATTCTAGGGAGGGGAGGGGAAGCCTTTCATATTGCAGCTTTTAATCAGATTTCTGATTGAATTCCTCTTAAAAATTGGTGTTTTCTCAGCAGTCCTGGCAATCATTAGCAAACCTTCAATAGAGAAAAGAATTGTCTTGTTTTGGAACCCATCCGAGGAAGAATACTGCTGGAAATTTTTTGCTTTGGCACCTGATGTGATAAATAGTTGCCCTCTTACTACCAACCCATTGACAACCTGCAGTTATTCTGTCTTTCTTGCCTTAATGGCTTGAAGGATTCAATGATGAATTGAACGATGAAAACTTTAACTGGAAGCTCTAGTTGTTTTTAATGTTCTTCAGCCATAAAAATCCCCTTCACATTGACTGGATTTTAGGATACCCCAAAGTATTTAACATTGTTTACTGCATTTGTCCTTGAAAAGCAAAGTACAAAATGTTTCTTCCTATTAAAATACAAGGATGCTATGATTTTTTTCTTATTTTTTTTTTGCAAGCCATTCATATTACTTTGCCATCATATATTATTCTTTTATTTCCCCTCCTCCCATATTTCCTTTTTAGGGGACATAATGGGTTCACGGCTGAAATTCTACACATGAAATTTATGCTAATGTTATTCTACTACCTTTTTGAAGAAATATGGTTTTGATATGTGCATTCATGTTTTGAGCATATGAGCCAATCGCCTAGTCTTTATGCTGTGACACAAAGTCAGTGCAATGTTATTTTTTGGACTGTTATCTACTAAAACATATTTTGTCCATTTTTTTTAAGAACCCACTTAAATTTCAAAAATTGATATTGGCAATAGTCATGCTGGTAAGTGACAAGTGTTGTGAGCTTGCCTACATAAATGCAGTCCTCCCCAGAAATACTATATGTAAAATATGTTGCAGTTCTACATACACTTTTCAAGAAAATTCCATTAGAAGCCATAATTGTAGAATGATTACTTTTTTATGCAGAAATGAAATTGGGCATGATTGGCTCATGAGTGAAGCTTGAGAATGCGTTCCCAAGATACACCGCTTAAATTCTGTGTCATTTTGGACAATCACTTGTCTTCCTAGTGTGATTTGATATTCTGGAGTTGCAAATACCATTTGGTAAATGTGAGATCTCTTTCCTTTAGCAGTGTTCTGGACAGTCCTAGCAGACTGGATGAAGAGCATCGGCTAATTGCTCGGTATGCTGCCAGGTTAGCTGCTGAAGCTGGGAATGTGGTGAGCAATTGAATTTGTTTCTTGGCATCTGAGCTTTTATCTTCTTTTATTTGATAATCAAGGTACAAATGTGAGATGACTACCTAAGTTCCCAAATCCTTAGCAAACTAAATTAGCAGAAGGGCACTAAATTAGGAAATCCTGAAATCATCTGTCTTGTGTTATGTTCTATGAGCACAGCAGCGGCTCATGCTAATATTGTACAGTGTTTGTTAAAATGAATTGATTTTTTTTTTTAAAAAGTAACATTCATGCAGTAGGATCCTTGCAGTCTGTTTGTGGTAATGTACCACAGAGCAAATGCATAGGATAGATCCCAAAGAAGAACTTGTGGATCACCACTTAAATATAAGTCAGTAGTGTGCTGCAGCTGCCCAAAAAGCAAACACGGTTCTAGGCAGCATCAACAGAGGGATAGCATCAAGATCACAGGAAGTAATAGTACCACTCTATACTACACTAGTGAGACCACATTTGGAATGCTGCATCCAGGTTTGGTCACTCCAATACAAAAAGATCTAAGGTCCTAGAAAGAGTGCAGAGAAGAGCAACAGCAATGATAAGGGGTTTTTATCATGCAAGCTGTGGTGGTGCAGTGGTTAGAATGCAATATTGCAGGTTAATTCTGCCGACTGCAGTAGTTCGATTCTCAGCAGCTGGCTCAGCCTTCCATCCTTCCAAGGTTGGTAAAATGAGGACCCAGATTGTTGGGGGCAATATGCTGACTCTGTAAACTGCTTAGAGAGGGTTGTAAAGCAGTGGGAAGCAGTATATGTCTAAATTCTATTGTTATTTCTATACAATGAATTACTAAGGAAACTAGGTATGAGGGAGACATAATAGCAGTCTTCCAGTACTTGAAGAGTTGTCATAGGGAAGAAGGGGTCGATTTATTCTCCATAGTATCTGAGAGCAGGGCAGGAAGCAAAGGTGGAAGGTTATAAGATGGAAATTCAACCTGGAAATAAGGATGAATTTACTGATAGTGAGAATGATTAATCAACAAAACAGCTTGCCTTCTGGACATGTGGGTGCTCCATTGTTGAAGGCTTTCAAGAAAAAAATGGACAACGATTTGTCTGGGATGGTATAAGGACTCTTGCCTTGAGCAGGGAATTGAACTAGAAGACCATCAAGGTCCCTTCCAGCTCTATGATTCTATGAATTCCAATGAACAGTGCTGTGATGCACTGTTAGTCTGGGGGAGGGGGGACCAGATTAGCTGAAATATCAGGCTGAGATACATATGTAGCATAGCTTTTTAGCATGGTGCTTCCATTGTTCTATCAGATCATGAAGACCAATTTTTTGTCTCCTCATCACAACCCAATGCTAGGTATTGAGCATGCAGAATTTTCCATGGATAAAGTGCATTAACATGTGCACACATGCATGCACACACAATCATATACTTTCAAAAAGGGAAAAGTCCACATAATTTAAAGAATGAAAAATAAACAGGAATGTTACTACTAAAAATCACAGTATTTCAGAGTCCTGATACATAAAAAAGATGTTGGGACTCTAGAAAGAATGCAGAGAAGACCAATAAGATAATTAGGGGATTGATCACTAAAAACATATGAAGAACAATTCAGGAATTGGGCATGTCTCGTTTATTTTTCATTCTTTAAATTA